GACTACAGTTTAAGCTCACTTTCACAATTTCTGTTTTTGAGGTGCTTATTTTCATGGTTCGACAAGGTACCGACTTGAAATTCATGTAGTACAAAGTAGTAGATTCTAGACCTCTTCTGTTCTTGTGCACCTCCACCGTGTGCTTATCTTGCAAACTTCTGTCAGTCTGTAGAGAAAACCTCCGTGAAGGAGCCCCTTTCGTCCTTCTCTGTCATGAAAACGCCCACCATTTGTTTTGTTTTTTTAAAGAAAAATAAACAAACTTAAATAAACAGCCTCCTACATTCTGTTGGGGTGAACTAGAACTATGAAATTGATGCCAAACTTTTTGATACACATTCCTTGGGCGAAGAGAACCATGCCGTAAGTGAGAGTATGTTATAACCACAACGGTTTGAAGATTGAAGCCAAGCTCATTATTATATTCTATTATGAGCATGGCATTGATGGATCAGCCCATTTACAATTCTACTGAGCATAAGAACATGTTAATGTTTCCCCTTTGGGATAGGCCTAAAGACAATTTTAGTCAGTATAGCACCGCCCTATGAGTCAGTGGTGTCAGTGACCTGTCAGTGACCAATGAGTGACAACTGTCAGTGACCAATGAGTGACAACTGTCAGTGACAAATGAGTGACAACTGTCAGTGATCTATTAGTGAGTGGTGTCACTGACCAATTATTGACAGCTGTTGCAGTGACCAATTATTGACAGCGCCGTCACCGCTTTTAAAAGTACAGTATTTGTAGTTTTTATAATTTAAAGGAGAGACCCAAAAAAACCTGAATGCTGTTACCAAGAAAATAACATTAATTTTTGCTCTAAAGTTATTGAGGAAGTTATTATCAAAATTGTATTCATAAACATATCGACTTGGAAATTTTGCAAGGAGTTTGTTCTCTTGGGAGCAGAATTCAGTTTTTTGGCCCTCCTGTAAAATAGTAAAAACTGATATCAGAGCTGTCATTTTTTTGTACGAGTTTTACGGTACTTACAACACAATAAGGTCATATAGGTGCGGAAGACTAGAGGTGTTACAAGAGAGTAGCAAACACAGAAAAAAAGGAGGGGGGATATAGATGATAGATGTTTGATAGGAAAGAAGGAGCAAACTACACCAGAGCACCCGCCAACTACTCACTAACAGCTGTCAGTGATGGATGAGTGTCAGTTGTCAATGTCAGGTCACAGTACGTGTCAGTGACCAATTATGAGCAACCGGTGTCATCACAATATTGAGCAACTCACAACAAAGGGAGACAAGTGTCCATCATGACAAACCAGCACACATGGCGCAGCGACAAAATATGTCATAGAAGGTTTATTGGTGGCCCTGAGACGTGACTGAAAGGCACAATAATCTATAAATGAGGGGCTGAGATACAAAATCTGCTACAACCATTTTAGTAGCACTTTGGAGAAAATCAGCTTTTTTTAATGCTGCTAGATCTTTACGCACGAACATGCGTAAAAATATTTTTTGGCGGCGTTCATGAAGTACTTGCTGGATTTTGGCCGGAAACATTTTGTGCATCTAACAGCCGGTAACAATGTGCTTTTTTAACGCTTTCACCACATATATGGACGAGCACACGTACACTTACACACGCACTCTCTCTCTCTCTCTCTCTCTCTCTCTCTCTCTCTCTCTCTCTCTCACACACACACACACACACACACATACTGCCCGCAGACAAAACTACACGCTTTCAACTCGAGAGCGCTGGAACGTTCGTTTACACTCGTATAATAACACGGGCGGACGCGAGATAGGGCAATTGAAACATCTTAGGTAGGCGTATACATTTTTTACATATATGTGTATGTATATATATATATATAATATGTATATCCTAATGCATTGTTGCGTAATTGAGAGTTCGTCGTTTTCCCTTGCACTGGCGAGCTCTGGGCCAGAGCTCAGTGTAAGGGAAAACAACGAATGATCGATCGGTCAAGGATAAATGCTTCGTTTTCCTTCATCTCATGGGATAGAACACTTGAAGCAGGCCAAAATATTTAAAATACTTCACTGTCGTCACTGACTAAAACCGGCTTACTTTTACCGTACGGTACGCCGTGCTTTACTATCGTATCCGTTACGTGGGGAACTCTGTGTCATCACTTTCCAAAAAGGAAATTTACTCGTTATTCCGATCCGTATGCTTCACATAGCAGTCAGTCAAAATGATATTTTGAGAAATACTAAAAGTTTCAAAGAGATCTTCGTACTACAGGTACAGTAGTCTCCGCCTAAGATCCCGGTGCTCGGGAGCAAGGAAATGCGGGATCTTAGGCAAACCGGGATCTTAACCGACGATCCCAGGGAAGAATCTATGGGGACCCATGTTAAGGCTTACAATTGATAAAATGGTCTCCCTCCACTCTAAAATGAACTGACGAGACCCCTAGGTGGGTTTTATGATATATGGCAAGCAAAGAGTTGTTAACCTTGATGGCCTATCACAGTGCGTAGAGCCATGAGGCGTGTCATTTTCACTTATTATCCTACCACGAGTCTCAAGATCCACGCAGTTGCCCCTCCCCTTTACCTGTCGAAAATTTATAGCTTTCCATCTCTGGCCGAGTTTCCCCCCCCCTCCCCAAACGCCTTTGTCGTTACACACCATTACGTTGTGAACACATCGATTAAAATTCAGTCTGTCTAGCAAATTCGGGCGTAGAGACAACTGCTGCAATCAACGCCTACTGCAGCGGTCAGGGAAGAGTTCATGGTTTGATGTGATCCCGCCTGGAACAAACGGGTTGGCCCTATCCACCCAGCAAAGTGATTTAAGTTTAGGGAGATAGCTCAGGTATAAGTGATATGAGTGGAGAAAACAAACACGTCAGTTCACATCCCAGTGTGATCCCGTCGGGGGCAAACATTGTATCGCTTCATCCAGTTTTACGTGTATAGTATGTGATCACATTTACCATAGTGGCTGATCTTTGACGCGACGGACAGTTTATTGATCTCAACTTTTCACTCTTGTTTTGATCCGCTGTGCCCGCCTGGGTTTTTGTTCCGCAAATTATGATCTGAAATGCGAGATCTTAGCCGAATGTAAACCTTCAGAGTGAATCAGAGCGGGATCTTAGCGGTGACTTTTGTATAGTAAAAATTGTGTTTTCTTAAAACAGCGGGATCTTAAGCGAACTGGGATCCTAAGCGGTGGGATCTTAGGCGGAGACTACTGTATTCTTAAATGTGAAGAATACAACCCCGGTGGTACAAAATAAGATTCTGAGCAGAAGAAACTTTAGAAACATTTGATTGAAACCCAAATACGTTCTCAAAGAATTTGTGTTTTGCAATTAGTTTGTAACAGCCCCTTTGCTAATTAGTAATCAAAACACTACATCTAGTCTAGATCTAACTGCTTAACAAAATTTTATATTATGAATCTTGCAGGAGCGTATAAAATTTAAGCGAACATGCATACGTACTGGGAGCTGAGATGTTACTTTGTTGTTGTCGTTGTTTCTAATTGTTGGAGTACACTGCGTAGCCTAGTAGTCACCGCAGTTATTTGTTTTCAAGTTTTACTGAAAGTATGGATAACCATTATAACACTATTCTAATTTTTTCCAACAAATTATGGTCAGAGATATAGCCAAAATTAATTTCCTCTTTACCCTTCTGTGTTAGCATCACTAATTGTACAACATATTTATCAAAAATGTGTTTCCTCCTCTGCAAAGGTTGATTAAATACATTCTGTCAACAGAGAAGCATCTAGCCTATCTGCCGAACCACCATTTGCCATTTGCACCGAGACTGTAATGCCGCCATTGAATTGCGGTGTTTTGAGAAGCAATACAGTCGAATACAGACGCCGAACGAGTCGCCGTCCGAGAAGTTTGGCATAAAAGACAATCAGCATGCCCTGTAAATGAAGGAAATAAAAGAAAGTCATTGATAATTACGTTTTGGAGGTATAGAGACTATTGTTTTGTTTATTTATAAGATATGGACAGTGATGACGGCGGCTCTATTGCAACAGCAAGCACTGACACGAGTTTGTTTCTTCGCGAGTTGCAAGCGTTAAACACAGAAGGAGGGACAGGTGCCCATTTTTTTTCAAAATAACTGCTAACCCACAATAATGAGTGTACTAATCATTACATAATACGATTATATCGGCATATTTTGTTTTGATCTAGATTAGATCTACATTTAGATACTCAAAATTAGGCCTGTTTGCTGACTGACCAGGCCCAGCGTCCCAGATCATCATAATCATGTCACATCTTATAAATAAATGACATGTAGATCTACATCTAGAATCTAGATCTAGACTCTACGACTAAACGTAGATCGACGTAAACTATTTTTAGGTAAGGCAGCCATTTTGTGTGACGTCAGACTGGGATACCCCCTCCGATCATGAGACTACATGACAGTCATAGTATGATGAGCCAATTATGGCACCAAAGATCGTACTAGCCTATACTCCTATACACTATAGACTTTATATATAATGGCCACCTCCACTCTCTATTCTCACCCCGGGTGAGAATAGCACAGGCGAGTCTTTTGGCTATTCTCACTCGGTGTGTGTTCGCCGTTATAGCCTAGATCTAGGTCAACCAGTGTTGCGTTGACCCTGAACCACGGCCACCTCTATTCTCGGTGCGCGTTCACCGTTATAGCCTAGATCTAGGCCAACAAATTTTGCGTTCACCCTAAACCACAGAATTCTACACTGTGATAACAGAAAAATTGTAGAATTCTGTGCCGTGAACAAACGTTCCATTACAAATGTAGCCTACTAAAAGCGTACAATTTTGTCTGTGGAAAGAGAGAGAGAGAGGAGTAGCGCGAGAACTTCTGGTCAAAACAAAATGGCGACCCGCGTAGTTCGGCTCGATTCGAAAAGTTAAATAGCCGTAGCATCTTTGTAGACAACCAAATTAATTTACTTTGACTTTTGTGTTTTAACATCATTTTTTAACTTTGTTTAGGTCAATTTGATCGTCCACACCGATCGACAGTATTCAGAAAGAGAGAGAAGGGAGGAGTAGATCTTGCGAAAACTTCCGGGCAAAACAAAATGGCGACCCGCGTAGTTCGGCTCGATTCGAACAGTGAAATAGCCATAGCATCTTTGAGGAGGATCATATTAGCTTACTTTTGTGCTGTGTAATTTTTTCTTGGCTTTTATCAATTTGATCATCCACACCGATAGACAGTATTCCAAAATGAGGAAAAGCAGGTTTCGCACCGGGTGAGAATAGCCTACGCTGGCAAGTCTCACCCGGGGTGAGAGGTAGATTGTTTTTCTATTCTTACCCCGGATGAGAATAGCCACTTCCCTGAACCACAGAATTCTACGCTGTGATAACAGAATTGTAGAATTCTGGGCACTTTTTCGGTAGTTCCCACCCCCCTTATTTGATTGAGCCTGATCTAGATCTATATACGTCTGATTTGCGGCAAGCTAGGATATCAAACCTAACAACTGCAAAACATTAAATTGTGATAAAATTCAGGGGGGCATGCCCCCCTGAAACCCCCCACCATGTTTTTATTAGGTCAGGGGGGCCTTGCCCCCCTGAAACCCCCCTACTCTTGGGGCCAAAACCGACGAATAACAAATGCGGGGTGGGAACTACCGATAAAGCGCCGAATTCTGTGCTGTGAACAAACATTCCATTACTAGAATCCAGGCCTACGGAAGCCTAAAAGTGTGCAATTTTGTCTGTGGGCAGTGGAGAGAGAGAGAGGAGTAGTGCGAAAAATTCCAGGCAAAACAAAATGGCGACCCGCGTACTTCGGCTCGATTCGAAAAGTTAAATAGCCGTAGCATCTGTGTAGACGACCAAATTAATTTACTTTAAAAATGTTTAAACATCATTTTTTAACAGAAGCGTCAATTGCCACCGAGTGACGCGGTGGCAATTGACAAAAATTGACTTTTTGTCAATTGCCACCGAGTGAAGCGGTGTCAAGTCTGAAAACAACACTATCTTTAGCATTATAATACATAATGTCAATTTGTTCTCAACTAATTTCATTGGACGAGCATCTAGTCTAGAGCTACGGTACCAACTTGGCATGTTTTCAATGAGACATATCTAGATCTAGATCTAGGCTAGCCTTAGCCTACACTTTGGTGTAGAACTAACTCAGGCAATTCTAGAAGTAGGCCTAGAAGGTCACAAACGCACGCAAACTCGAGCAGAAATTCACGTTATATCGGGGGACGGGGGTCAGGAAAAGACACACACACACACAGAGACGAACGCACAGCACCGAGCACTCGAACACAATAAGCTAGATCTACCCACAAACACAAAAGAGCTCCAATTTACTGGGTGGCAATTGACAAAAAGTCAATTTTTGTCAATTGCCACCCCGTCACTCGGTGGCAATTGACACTACCTTTTTTAACTTTGTTTTGGTCAATTTGATCGTCCACACCGATAGCCTAGACAGTATTCAGAGAGAGAGAAGAGGGGAGGAGTTGTTCTTGTGAGAACTTCCGGGTAAAACAAAATGGCGACCCGCGTAGTTTGGCTCGATTCGAAAAGTGAAATAGCCATAGCATCTTTGTAGACAATTAAATTAGCTTACTTTTGTGCTATAACGTAATTTTTTCTGTTTTTTAAAATCAATTTGATCATCCACACCAAAAGACAGTATTCCGAACAGGCCTTGTTTCACACCGGGTGAGAATAGCCAACGGTAGCAAGTCTCACCCGGAGTTAGAGGTCGATCGTATTTTTATTCTCACCCCGGGTGAGGATAGCCACTCCCCTAGCCTATTGTAGCCTACCTGCCATGCATGGCGCTTTTCCGGTAGTTCCCACCCCGCGATTCTTATTCGCCGGTTTTGGCCCAAAGTGCCCCCCTGACCAAATAAAAGTATGGTGGGGGTTTCAGGGGGACATGCTGAATTTTACCATAATTTGATGTTTTGCTGCATGGGTCTCAATATTCCACTATTTAGTGGATTTCCGCTACCGCCATTTCCTCCTCTAAACTCCGCTACCGCGAAAGCGGGTCAATTGACAGAGAGTTGCTGGGAGCAGAGTGACTGCCAGGCCTCGGGAATTTGAAAATAAATCGCCGAGACGCGGGGATATACATAAAAGATATATCAAATATAATATTTTAAAACCAAATCCGATTACGTCTTTAAGTTCAGTTTTTGCCGGTCACGATTGTGATGTTAATTCGGCTTTTCCGGGTCTGAGAGTATGTTTCTCGCGAACAGGCTTCTATGGCGGCAAGTGGAATTGTATGCGACACCGAGGCTCAACCGGAAAATCAAGATCTCAGAAATTTGTTGGTAAAAGTTTGAATACGCAGCATTTGTAACATCATGCAGATTCTGCATTACAAACGTGATGTCGCCATGAAAATAATATTCGTCACTGTGCTGTCGCTTGTGGGGGGCAAAAAAAAAAGAAAGTTATAACAAACGTCTTGTTGGGCTCATCATTGTGACCGGTCAATGAATCTGAGCGCTGTGAAGTACAGGACTCCGGAATGGGGGTGAGATTATTGATTTTTAAAAAAGATGCACTCGGGGATGGGGGGAGGGCTGGACACAACACCAGATGACAAAAAAAGAAAAATAATTGGAAGCAAATTTTAATATTTAGAATTTTGATTACTACTACAGCTCTCTGCAAAGTAAAGTGCGTGTTTGTGCATGCCTTGTGTATAATCGGGATCTGTCATAACTACTTGTAAGCGTGTTAATGAATTTAGAGCAGGGACTTAAGTGTTCGCGTTTCATTGGATGGGTGACAGTAAATTTTGTCTCTATATTTTAGCTTTTTGTTCAAGATTCGCAGATGTTCAGTGTCACTGCATCTTGCCCTCCAACAGTTCTTACACCTGTCACACTGAATAGGTTTACTTGTGCTATTCAAGTTATTACTCTACTTTGAGTTTGAGCATTAGTTTTGTCTTTCACGTTTATTATATGAATCATTACACCCAGACTGGTTCATGACAGTCGATATTCTGATTCTAGGCCTTTTCCCAGGCTGAAAACAAGATTCATTTTTATTTATGTTACAGTAAGAATGCGTACCTAGAGAATACGCATAATCACTGAATATTTAAGCGAATACATGTAATCCCCGTTTCACTCAGGGGTTTCATGTAATCACTGAAATTTCTAGTGATTATGCGAAATCCCTAAAATTAGACCTATCATTTAACATGTTTTTACTATGTACTGGGCATTCAGTGAATTCACGTAATAGCCCCGCCACTGTACGGGGATTACGCGTTTTCACTGAAATATTCAGTGATTACACGTATTAACTAGATTGATCTACGTGTTCTTACTGTAACACAGATATACTGGCAAACAAGGAGACAACGTGTGTAAGCCAGTTCCACTTGTTGATCGAAGAAGAGGCGATCCTAGAAATATCCTTGGTGTCATAATTGACAGACGAGAAGATAGCCGTAAAAGCTGGTTTGTATTCCAGAAATCAGTTCGATCTGTGCCCTGAGCGTCTTCTGAACACTGACGACATAAACACCGAAAAAATTGTTCAATCCTCTCCAGGTGAACAAGGCTTCACAAGATGCAACTGTACTGGTGCCAAAAAGTGTAGTTCAAGCCGATGTAAATGCCGCAAAGCAGGGCTTTAGTGTAACTTACACTGTCATAGCAGCCTCAGTTGTTGTAACAAGTGACGACGTCAATGGATTTTAGTCTTAAGTATTTAACTGAAAACTGAAACAACAACAACAACGACAGTGGTGTCTGTCATTTAAAAAAAATTAAATGCTTAGTTTTTAGATTGTGGAGCGGGTGTGTGAGAGAGAGAGAGAGAAGGGGGAGAGAAAGAGAGAGAGAGAGATTCTTTTACTGAACTGACTATTTAAGCAATAAAATTTTGCATGTGCCTGGTCATTTTTTAAGAATTTTTAAATGCTTAGTTTTTAGATTCTGGAGCATGTGAGTGTGTGTGTGTGGGGGGGGGGGGGTGTGAGAGAGAAGAGAGAGAGAGTGTGTGTGTGTCTGTTACCGAACTGACTATTTAAGGAATAAACTTTTACAAAAGTATATTATACTACACATGTCTCATCAGTGATTACGCGTAATTACTGTGACCATTTTTCAGGGATTTCACGTAATTCCTGATTATTTTAGTGATTCCGTGAAATCTCCGAGTGAAACAGGGATTACGCATTTTCACTGAAATATTCAGTGATTACGCGTATTCACTAGGTACGCGTTCTTACTGTAACATATACAGTCGAACCTGTGTAAGACGGAATCGCAAGAGAGCGGGAAAAAATCGCATATCCTACGGGGACAGTCATAAGTAATTATTCAGGTTTAAAATACATACATGCACATATACATTCGCCTTTTGGTTTCGTCTCAAATACAATTAATATACTTTAGACTTTAGATTCTGCAAACTAAAAATTTATTTACAATTCAGTAGGCCTGTTATTTGCTGTTTGTCAGTCTAGCCATCATTAAGTACGGCCAGCCTCTTCCATAAAGTTACCGTAAGGAAAAGTACTTAATGACGGCTAGACTGCTAGGCCTAGGCTAGCTGTACAAGAAGTGCAGCTAGACTGGCAGGCTAGCCTTACTTATGACGGCTGGACTAGCAGTACTTATATGATGGCTAGACTGACAAATAGCAATAAATAGTCCTAAATTCTACTGAAATGTCAATAAATTTTTAGTTTGCAATACCTGAAGTCAGTATTTGTATTTGAGACGAATCCAAAAGGTGCCTTACTCGACTTACTGACAGTGCATGTCATTGTGTTTTAAACCTGAATAATTACTAATGATACCTGTGTACTCAACAAGTTTCTTAAACAGTCGTCTCTGCCTAAGATTAGGGATGGGCAGGTACCGGTACCCAGTACCGGAACTCCCGGTTCTACCGAAGGAGGTGTCAGTACCGACACTTGGCCTCCAGTACCGGCTCTGGGAAGGAGCCGACACCAACGGTTAGTACCGGCTCTGGGAAGGAGCCGACACCTCGACGCTCAGAGAGAACGTCCAGTATAGGCCGACACCTACGGTTTTTTAACCGGGCTATGAGAAGTGTGCTGTGTGAAGGCCCTTGGCCTAGCAGCTGTGATGTCAGATGCACACAACGCAGCTGGTGACCTTGATACAGGACTTGATTCAAAATTGGCAATCAAAAACGAAGTTTGTTTAAATTTAAATATATGGCATCAAATCAGGTTTGTCGCGAGCCACTTTGCATATTTTGATACGCAGATTCCGAAAATGAAATCCATTTTTAGCGGCAATAATTATTTTAAAAATTTTGCATGCCAAGTCTTATCCCACGCGGCGGCAAACTTCAAAGGTATTTTGCGTCACAGTTCGCCTCTCCAAATCTGACGTGTGTGGGGGTTTTTTTTAGGGGGGGGGTGGCGACGGCGCTGATCGAGACAGGAGATGCACAGTCTATGACGTCACCCCCTGATGTCACTCCTGGCACCGGTACTGGTGGTTCTCGGCACCCAGTACCGAGAAAGTGTCGACACTGAGTTTCGTCGGTACCCGCCAACAGTATCTAAGATTCGGGAGCAAGGAAAAGCGGGATCTTAGGCAAACCGGGATCTTAACCGACGAACCCAGGGAAGAATCTGTGGTGACCCATGTTAAGGCTCACAATCGGTAAAATGGTCTGCCTCCACTCTAAAATGTACTGACGTGACCGCTTGGTGGGTTTATGACGTATGACGAGCAAAGAGTGGTTAACCTTGATGACCTATCACAGTGCATAGTGGGATGAGGCGTGCCATTTTCACTTATTATCCTATCATGAGTCTCAAGATCTACGCTTATCCAGTTGCCCCTCCCTCTTCCCTGTGGAAAATTTATAGCTTTCCATCTCTGACCGAGTTCCCCTCCAGCCTTTGTCGTTACACACCATTACTTTGTGAACACACCAATTAAAACTCAATCTGTCTCGCAAATTTGGGAGGAGAGACAACTTCTGCAATGGTCAGGGAAGAGTTCACAGTTCAATGTGATCGTCCCTGGAGCGAACGTGTAGGCCCAACCCACCCAGCGAGTGATGTAAGTTTAGGGAGAGAGCGCAGGTGTGAGTGCGATGTTCGGGGAAAACAAATATGTCGGTCAGTTCTCACCCCGGTGTGATCCCGTCTGGGGCAAACTTTGTGTCGCTTCATCGAGTTTTACAACGTATATGTGATCACATTCGCGATAGTGGCAACGGACAGTTTATTGATCTCAACTTTTTACTCTTGGTTGATCGGCTGTCCCGCCCGGGTTTTCGTTTGGCAAATTAAGATCTGAAATGCGGGCTCTTAGCCGAATGTAGACCCTCAGAGTGAATCAGAGCAGGATCTTAGGGGTGACTTTTGTATAGTAAAAATTATGTTTTCTTAAAACAGCGGGATCTTAAGCGAACCGGGATCGTAAGCAGTGGGATCTTTGGCGGAGACTACTGTAGTAGTAATAGGGCCTAAAATAAGTACGGCTAGGTGGCTAGGCCCCGGGTGAGAGGCCTACAACTGCACTATTCTCACCACTGATAAGAATAGAGGTGGCCCACTGAAAAATAACAGCGCATCTCTCGCTCTTTTTCGGATAAAACATCGATACTAAGTATTAAGTCGGTATCGATATCCAGTATTCTTGGTGCCAAAACTGGAGAATGCTCTTTATTTATATTATGAAAACCTTGTCCAAAGTGGCTAGAAATTTGTCATGTGAAATGAGATTTGTTGACTGGTTAGTTACAGTGTCAGTCTCCATCTGCCATCTTCATCTGTAAATTCCTAACGCCACAAAATGTTTGGTAGTGTAGAAACGGTCCTGTTGATTAGGACACCCGTTGACATTGAGATTTTAATACTTGCTCTTGTTCTATGCATGTTGTCAGTTTTTGGTACAGGTGTAAATTTGTTTAGCGTCATTAAAATGTTCAAGTTTTCACTAGCACTCACCGTTGTAAATTTGTTGTCTGCTAGAATCATTTGATCTCTATGGTTAGCTTGTTTTTTATTTCTTTCATTCAGGCCCAATATGTGCAAGTCAAAGCCTTGGCTCCAGCATTATTGAAGTGTAAGTTTAATTGAGTTGATTATGACAGTCCTCTATCTGTTTTCACTTTGAATTTGATCAATTACAAAATAAAATATTCAAGCTGAACTTGACCTTTTATTATGTGAATAAAGCAATACCACTTGTAGCATTTACAATGTATGCCTAAGCAAACTGATTATTGATTTTTGTGCATCATGTATGTCCATGAAACGAAATCTGTCATTGATCTGTCGAACTGAAGAAACTTTCCAAATGGCATAGAGAGAATTTTTAAAAAAATTGTTTTTGGTGTGAGGTGTGTAAAAAGTGATTATAGGGTTTTTTCAATGTAGAAAGTGTAGTCAGTTTAATAGCAATGCCACAAAAGATAAATGTACCCTATCTAACCTTATTAACAATACACTTACAGTGATATAAAGATCAATATTCTGCAAGCAAAATTTAATGCTTTTTACTTTTGAAAGTTGATCAATAAAAATAGAAAAGTTATGGCTGTGTACGTGTGGGCATTTTGAAGAAAATTCCTATAATTTATATAGACAGGAATAGAGAAGAGGAAACGGAACTGGAAATATTAATAACTATGTGAAACTACATACTTTTTTACATTTGAGGAATGGGCTGAAAATTGACAAACAATTTTGTTGTTTTAGCGGCAAAAAGATTGTAGATGAAAGAATTTAAGAACTTGTAGTCTCATCAATACCAAGGTTTTCATTCTGTTGTATGCGGAATACAACTGTGGGTAATCACGGTGAAACCAGGCTCTCTGCAATATTTAGGGAATGGAGAAATCAGTATTTTTCCAACTTGAGCAATAATTATAGAGATTTAACTCTTTGATTTTTCTTGTAGGATGGTGGGTAGAGCTACTCTCTTAGGGCGGAGGCAAAGGGTTAAGATTTGCAATGGCAGTGTTTTATAGGAATGCTGATGTCTGTTGAAAAACTCTTCAAGCTTAGAATTGATGGCTCAAAGACGTTTTAGAATAGTGTTGACGTTGTGATAGGTTCTAAAATTCATGCGGTCTTTTTAGTTGAGAACTTTCCCATTTATAAAGCAATATAATATGTGTAAATACTGAGAGTACTTTATGTACGATGATTATTGATAATATTATTTATGTAAGGAAGTAATTTATTTCTTCTGCAGCACGGCATCTGGTGATGATGCAGATTCTGATACTTTACCACAAGCCCTAGAGAAAATGATTGGCGAGAGAAGACCTCCTGCACAGGTCATGTACGTATTTACGTAAAGTTTCAGATTTATAAGCATCTATGTATTGTTTTGGCAAACAAATTTCAAATATTTATCTGAGGGTATTGGTAACAGCTTTGTGGTTTTTTTCTTTGAGAGTTGAAAGAAAATATATAGATCTATAGTGTGTGTGTGTGTGAATGTGACCTTCCCTGTTTATTCTGTTTTTGAAAATCTTACAAGCTTGAGATTTGTGGAAGCTTGTCTTATCTTGTGTGTCTCAATATGTGAAGTTGTTATTGATATTATTTATTATATTTATCATGTCTGCTCTGACAATTTATTTCTGTTCCGTTCATGGTGTCCTTGTTCTTTCTTTTTAGTAACTTGGCAGAAAATGCAGATGAAAATGGAATTAATGTGTACAGCCCTGAAGTTGAAGTGCATGCTGCACCCACATCAACATCTGGGAGTTATGTGGAAAAATCAGCAGGCAGCAATAAGGTAAAGCCTTCTCTGGGTGTGGGTTTTTTTTTGGTTTGGTTGTTGTTGTTTTTTATGACATGGCTGCACTGTAATCACTGAATGCGTCACTTTTTATTGTTATTACTCCACTGTATTCTTTATAGTCTTGATTATAGTGAAGCTCTCACTCTCTGCTCTGAGAAATTATAAAGAATAAACTACTGTGCAAAATCATTGAATTGTTAACCCCTTCTACGCTTATCAATCCTAATGCATGCTCTGAATTCTAAGAACTTGGGAAATTACCCCCTACTATGCCACATGTATATTGTTATAAATTCGTTAAAAATAATTCTTTACGAAATTAGCTGGATAATTTCTTTACGAAATTAGCTGGAAAAGAAAACTGGCTCTAATAAGCCTACTTCCACTGCTGTGTAGTATGGGCAAGTTATTTGCTTTTTCTTCTATAGTTATGATCATCGGTTTGCATTCATTACTCATCTATTTCGCCAAATTAAAAAAATAATCAACTGCTCCGGTGAGTTATATTATACAATATCACAGTAGATCACGAAATAAACTTTTCAGTGTCTCTTTGTTTGGTTGGGGTCACTATGTTTTCAAAATGTTGATTTTTTCGGAGTTTCAACTCAAGGGTCCCCCATTTAGCCATATTTACAACCTTTAAGAATCATGCATGCACTATTTCTGGGCATGGGTCTCAATATTCCACTATTTAGCGGATTTCCGCTACCGCCATGCCCTCCGCTAAACTCCAGTACTGCGAAAGCGGGTCAATCAGAAAGAGAGTTGCTGGGAGCAGAGTGACTGCCAGGCCTCGGGAATTACCCGCGAATTTGAAAAAAAAATCGCCGAGACGCAGGAAAATACATAAAAGATCTCGAATATTATTTGAAAACCAAATCCGATAACGTCTTTAAGTTTATTTTTGTCGGTCGCGATTGTGGTGTTCATTCGGCTTTTCCCAGTCTGGGAGTACGTTTCACGCGAACAGGTGGCTAAGGCGGCAAGTGGAATTGTATGTGACTCCGAGGCTCGACCGGAAAATCAAGATCTCAGAAATTTGTCTGTAAAAGGCTGAATACGCAACATTTGTAACATGCAGGTTCTGCATTACAAACGTGGTGTCGCCCTGAAAATAATGTTCGTCACTGTGCTGTCGCTTGTGGGGGCAAAAAAAGAAAAGAAAGTTATACTAGCGTCTTGTCGGGCTCGTCATTGTGACCAGTCAATGAACCTGCGCGCGTTTTGAGCGCTGTGAAGTACGGGACTCCGGAATGGGGGGAGATTATTGATTTTTTTTAAAACGATACACTCGGGGGTGGGGGGAGGGCTGGACGCAACACCAGAGGACAAAAAAAAGAAAAGGAATTGGAAGCAAATTTTAATATTTAGAATTTTAATTACTAGATCTACTACAGCTTTCTGCAAAGTAAAGTGCGCGTTTGTGCATGCCTTGTGTATAATCGGGATAATCCGTCATAACTACTTGTAAGCGTGTTAATGAACTTAGGATGGGGCGTAAGTGTTCGCGTTTCATTGGATGGGTGACAGTAAATTATGTCTCTATATTTTAGCTTTTTGTTCAAGATTCGCAGATTTTCAGTGTCACTGTATCTTGCCCTCCAACAGTTCTTACACCTTTCACACTGAATAGGTTTACTTGAGCTATTCAAGTTATTACTCTACTTTGAGTTTGAGCATTAGTTTTGTCTTTCACGTTTATTATATGAATCATTACACCTAGACTGGTTCATGGCAGTCGATATTCTGGTTCTAGGCCTTTTCCCAGGCTCAAAACAAGATTCATTTTTATATAGGCGAATGTGATGAAGGTAAAATATAAATAAGTCGCACAAGACCACAGTGCGCCTCCACTTTCTGTTGCAAAAATGGGCTTCTGTCACGATCACTCGGAAAGTTCCTCCTTTTTAAAAATTCTGAGTTGAGACCCATGCTGGGTCAGATTCAACCATTGTGATACTCTGAGAAAGAAGAGCTACTTCTCTTTTGCTATACTTGTAGCCTTGTTTTTGGACTATCTGCCTGGACATGAAGGGAAAGTATACCAACGCTATCGTCTAGGGAGGGGGGTGGGGGGGGGGGGGTTGTAGTAACTGTAAGTATGAAAGAGTTAACTCACTTCAGACGGGTCACACAACAGTTGCGTGACCCCCGCCGCGACGCTCGCGACGGGTCACACGAGCCCTGCGTGACCAACTTTGGAATTTTTTTTTCGCTCTACAAATCACGCACGGATCGCGAGACCCGCCTCGTACCCTTGTTTGGCCAAGCCTGAGCTACCTAGACTTCGTTTCGTATCTCTGGGGCCGGTAGTTTTTAAGTTATTGAAGGTGAAGGACAGTGACCCCAAGTGGGGTTGAACAGACCGGAACTCGCGCTTTGTTTTTTTCTATACAGCTCATAGTAATCCGACAGTCGCGTCGTAGTAACGGTCGAAGAAGTCGCATGAACCAAAATCACATAATTTCGCCGTTTTCTATACTTCTGTACGTTTTACTAGTTTTAGTGTCTCAGAATATGATGTGTCTAATAGTTAGGATCCTGGATATGTACCTGAACACGGCCCGAGTCGTAGTTTTAGGGCTAGATCTAGCACTAGTACCGGTGTTGTTTTTCGCGCAACGAAATCACAACGTCGTGCCGTACATCTGTCTCATGTAATTCAGTGTATGGGTCTGAATCAATGCACAGACCAGCTTTTATATATTCACCAAACACTCGCACATGTATACAAATCAAACCAGAACACTTTGAACTTTTATTTTTGTTGTTGTAGTGAATTTCATTCCACTTGTCACGTCTCTGGAAATTTTTTGGAAAATCAAATTCATGCCAATTTTTAAAAAATCATACAAATTAAAGTATTAAACTTAGACAACTTTGGTTTTTTGTATTAGATTAAGCTTGAATGTTACTTTACTGTGTCAAAAAATAATTACAATAGGGTAATTCTGAGAGTTGTGGTGATTTATTGAAATACCCCCCAAAACGCCAGTCTTCAACGCTTGTGACTGGTGAAAGGGCCCAGTCGCAAGTGAGTTAAGCTGCAGAAAGCAAGTGCAAGGCTAGTTTGTATCTATTCTTTGTCTTTCCTGGAGCGGGGGGGGGGGGGGGGGTAGTTAATGGTTTATACTGGAATTGATAAATATTTGATTTTTTTGCCTCTGATTTTCTTTTCAGGTCAAAGTTACCACTGTGGTCAAACATGTTTGGGAGCTGAAGTATTATCATGGAAATCTGGTCGCAGTTCACAGAGATGCAGATTTTGTGGCCTATGTTTTAAGAGGTTTGTCAGAAAAAAGACATGAGCTTGTAGTTATTGTCAAAATTCAGTTACCATTGTATGATGGGAATTTTTCAAATGTCCACATTCTGTCAGAGAAGTTTTACTTTTGAGATTGTGATGCTAAAACAGGTCAGCATGGGATGAAGTTGAGCAAAGTGCAGATTCCGATTCTTCTCAACCTTCTTCATACCAAATAAATCCGTCAGAATGGCTTCAGTGAAAAATAGCGCTTAAGGATTATCTGTAAAATTCGTTTCAGTCTCAATCTACAGCTTGATCAGTTTTTTCTCTGAGAGTTCTTCTCCCAATTTCACCTCTTTTAATAGCTCTTCACTTTTCTCATTCTTATAGACTCATTCAACTCCTTTCAGTTGCGTCGGATTTCTTTGCCGTCAATAAGACTGTTCAAACTAACCGACTTACATTCACATGTGCTCTAAAATGGTTTGATTTGAGTAGTAGATCGTCTTTTGAGTGCCATCTCCCTGTTATTTTTGCAAGGGAACCATAATAATAAGAGCATTTGTATCCCGCCTTTCCCCACAACATGGGCCCAAGGCGTACATAGGAGATTAAAAACGCCTTCATACTAACACCATACAAATTCATGTGCGCACATTTTGACAACGTTCTTTCAGACAATTAGAAAAAATTCTCCTACAAAAAGACAAGGAACTGTCCATTATTTAAAATATTTCTTAAATAGCCATAGTGAATAAATGATAGGGTTGTTGATTTCTTAAAGATATCTCTTTGAGCGGGGAATCGGCGTGTGTGGTGTGAAATGTGTCAAGAATGTTCCGTGCAGTTCGGTTTTATTAGCGTCATGAGTGTACATTGTTGGGGGGGGGGGTTGTTTTTTTGGGTTTTTTTGTTTACGTGTGTGTGTGTGTGTAATTGTTCCTTTGCTATGTATGGGGGGGGGGGGGGTTTTGGTGTAGTTTTTGTTGAACTTTTCTAATCTTCTGCTGTTGCCTGCTGAGTTGACCTCTGATGTCCCTTTTGTCTGGTTTGTTACAGGTCAGTCTGGTGGCAATGTTCGAGTGATCTCCCGCAAGACAGCACATCGCGTACTGCTCAAAACATTCAGTGGAAATGTGCTCGACATTGCCTTTGCTTTGTCTGATGATGTCTACTTAGCAGCTGTCGATGAAACTGGAAGCCTGTATGTGCACTCCTTCGTCATGGAAGGAGATTACATCATGTATCCTTTAACTTGTTCTGTTCCGTGAACTGCATTTCACAAATCAATAAGTAGTTAATCTGTTCAATTCCATTCCAGACTTTTAAACCCACGCAAACCACCACTTTGCACACAAATTACTTTTTTCTTTCAACTGTTTAGTAAGAAATTGATTTCCCTGTATTTTGATACATGGGAAAAACCCTCACGTGGGACCAAAAGTGAATTTGTATGTTTTTGATCATTTGAATCAACATTATTTCTGAGTATATATTTGTTTCATGTTGATATCTCAAGTGGATACAAAGTGTTTTTTTATGCATCTGGAGTTGAGGAAAAATTTTAGAAATCTTGGTATAAAGTTGGAAAATGGAATTTAGACTACCGAAACGTCTCTAAACGTTTTATTTGTCAAATGGTGTGTTTCTATTTTATGTTCAGCTGCTATTTGGGAGATTATTTGACTGTAAATTTTGTCTTTCGTATGTATGTGTTCTTCTAGTTTTATTACGTTACCAGCTTATACTATTTTTCTTGACCAAATGTAGCTCAAAGCTGTTGCTACACGTGGAGAGGGAGTCATTTGATCTTGAATCCAGTTTTCGTAGCTGGGCACGTGTAATCTGGTGTCCTTTCATGCCAGACCAGGATTATGAGGATGATGGAGTGGATGCATCAAAGATGTTGGTTCTGCTGCATGGCTCGCGTGTATGTGACATAACAATAGCTATTGTTACCTTATGAGATGAAACAAGAAATACTGTATGAAAGTTTGGTTTTATCCACCCTCAATTTTCAATGCATAGGTACTCTTCTATTGCCATTTTTCTGTTGTCTGTGAGATATATACCTCAGTTTGATAAATTCTTTTTGAAATACATCTAGCACATTGTGTTAGCATTAAAAATGGTCTTGTAACTGTCCTATTGTAAGGTCTGAAGAGTTTTTGTTGAAAAATTGTAAAGTTGTTTGTTTCCCCGAAAGCAGACATGTAAATTAACACACTTTATCTGTGTGCTGAGTCTGGTAATCATGTATGTGGAGGGTCAAAGTCAGTGACCTTAGCTTTAGGAAAAAATATTGACACTTCATGTTTACAATAAAATTGTATTAATTTGTTACCTCACTTTTTCTTTTGCTCTGTAGTTTATTTTTGAGTTTTTAGAATAACCTATCACATATCTAGCATGATATTTAATTTCATGAGAAAAACAAATGTGAGGCAGCGTGGTGGAATCAGGCTCTCATCAAAATAATCAAAGTGAAGAAACTTGCATTTTTCCGCAGGTTTGTGAATTTTTATCAAATTTTTGTTTTTTGGCTCCACGCCTTTCATGCCCATTAAAGAACTTATTTCTGTCTGGATTTTTCTGAAAAGCGTTGAGTAAAGGCACAAAATTGTAAATTTTCAGTTATCACGGACTCTTAACTCTTGTCCTGTGTCTGTGCCGAGATGCGAATCTTATCAGCAACCGATTACGTCGGACGTGCCGGGCAGGCCGCCGGGAAACGTGTGTTTTCGCCATGAATACTGCGGGAGTGTATTAACCGATGATGAAAATAACGCTCTATCTTTCATAGCTTTCTATTTATAAAGTGTTACAAACACATGAATAACCCCCTCTCACAAGCTGATAAGATATTACGAGTAATTACGCCCATTCGAATAACCTTTCTGGACGCTCTTGTTGTTATGAATGACCTGTGGTTCGAAAGGGGATAATATAGGTCAATTTCCGAATGTTTTACACTCAAATTGTTCTTTGTACCTGCACAATGGTATTCAAAACTATCAAACAAGCTTATTTTTTATCAGGTAGTATCATTGCATACAAAATCAAGCTCATTTGAAATATTTTGTATTGAAAAATGGAAGTCTTGTTTCCTGACTATCCTTTCGAGCTCCTCATGGCTAAGTGGGTCAATTTCTTCTATAATTTCATTGGGCATACATCTAGAGCTACCAACTTGGCATGTTTTGAATGAGACGAATGCCTCGATTACGAACCAACGCAGGCAGTTCTAGAAGAAGGCCACAGACGCAAACAAACTCAAGCAGACTGACGCACACACACTTGACTGCGTGAATGGGGATCCGACTCGGGACCCGAATGACACGTAAGATGATGCGCGTGCGCTGAGCCAGGGCTACACTGATTCGGGACCAGAACGTAGGCGAGGTGCCGAAATAGACTTATCGGGCAACATAAACCTGGCTCCCGCAGGACGAGGGTTAAGCTAAGGAAATAACTAATCTTTGCTGCCATTTTCTCACTAATTTTACCTCTGAAAAAAGGTAACCCCCCCTCCTCCTTCATTCGCACATATCCCGACTTGTATTTAAGGTAAATGGATATTTTTCCATCCAAATAAAGACAAATGAACAAGCTTTAAGATGATACCAATTACTCTACATGCCCTAAAATTGACGAGAGCCTGATTCCACCACGATGCCTCGCAAATAAACAAACTGTTTGTTGCTACGTCGTGGGAAATCTGAGCTGTTCCCATGTGAATGATTAACAGAGGGTGTACTTTTGTGTTGTGTCCTCAGGCTGAAGTATGGAATGTGGACTTAGTTGCAAAAGAGGCGGGCCCTGAACCAGTGACTTCAAAGAGCGTGGAAAATGGAGGTGTCATGGTTATAGAACCCAACCCAAAAAGAGAAGATGGTGTAAGATAGAAGCCTTTTCTATTTCTTCGTGTTCTAGCGTTTATAGCCTAAAAGGGATTACTGCTTATGTTGCTTTTTTTTTTTCCTTGTGCTCTCAGCCGAGTACTGATTGACTGATATGGCTAGGGTTTTTTTTCCTACGGTAGATGCTTGGAGTGAAGACATGGTAGGTCATGGCTGCCGTACTGATTATTTCATGTTTTGTGTGTAGGTAGTTTTATGGGAGGGCTGTTCCTTTATTGTTTTTATACAGTCTTCCAGACACTGGCCCGGTTGGAGGAAATTGACTCTTATATCGTCGTGTGTGCCTCTGTAAAGAATCATTTGCTAATCAACATGTTAGAAAACATAGAATTTGTTTTTCTGAGCTCTGTTTTCTGATCAATCGTTGCAAAATTAGTCATGATACAAAATGTGTAAGGCAATGTTATGATCCATAAATGTTGAGTGCCAACGTGAGCTTTCCGGTGGTGCCAGAAAAATTCACAATTTTTTTTTTTAGCCAGTAGTAGGCCCCTCTGCATTGTTCTAAAAATGTGTTTTTCTTAATGATAAGTTGAAGGGAAATTTTCTTGACTATGAGTATTTTTAAATATATATATTTATGTCCTCTCCTAAGCACTGTTAAAATCTGTATTATGTCCACAGGCTGTTGTTAATGCAGCATTTGCTCCAGATGGCTCAGCAATTGGTATAGCATACCACTCAGGGATTGTTAGTTTCCACCTTGTCAACATAGACACGGGAGAGAACGAGTGAGTAATTGCCATATTATGCAATCGGAGTCTATAAAGCTGTTGGTTTTTTTTTACTGTTTCCTCCATTGCTTTACAGAGTGGGTTTTACCCTCTGATAAGCGATTTCATACCTGCCAACCCTACAGAAAAAATCGGTATATTACCTACTTTTTGGTCAAACTACCGATCCACCGATTTTGAGAGATAAGCCACCGACAAGCGCCCCATGCGTTTTCTTTATTGCTGTAAAATTTCAGATCTTTGTGTGTAGTAGGCCTACACTTTACTTACCAATTTAAAATTACCGCCCATCCATTGATAAAACACTTGAGCTGGAAACTAAATCACGGTCCCAAACACGCGAGTTGCTGGCATGCAAGAGGCGTGTGATCGCGAGGCGGCATGTGATTGACTGCCTAAAACCAGAGAGTTTTACAGTAATACAATGTTAAAACTGCTAAAACTAAACAGGTTACCAATGACGTAATTGCGGGTTTTCCCGATACTGCTTTGCTAAGGTGTGGAGGGGTGATCGGCCACAGTTCAAGCGATGTCGCGCAATTCAACATATTTTCATGCAAATTTAATATTAGTCTTAACCCTCATCCTGCGGGAGCCGGGTTTATGTCGCCCGATAAGCCTATTTCGGCACTTCGCCTACGTTCTGGTCCCGAATCAGTGTAGCCCCTGGCTCAGCGCACGTGCAGCGCGCATCCTCTTACGTGTCATTCGGGTCCCGAGTCGGATCCCCGTTCACGCAGGTCAAGTGTGTGTGCGTCAGTCTGCTTGAGTTTGTGTTTGTGGCCTTCTCCTAGAACCGCCTGCGTTGGTTCGTAATCGAGGCATACGTCTCATTCAAAACATGCCAAGTTGGTAGCTCTAGATGTTAGTCCAATGAAATTATAGAAGAAATTGACCCACTTTCACATGAGAAGCTCGAAAGGATTGTCAGGAAACAAGACTTTCATTTTTCTATACAAAATATTTCAAATGAGCTTGATTTTGTATGAAATGATGATACTACCTGATAAAAAATAAGCTTGTTTGATAGTTTTGAATACCATTGTGCAGGTACAAAGAACAATTTGAGTGTAAAACATTAGGAAATTGACCTAAATTATCCTCTTTTGAACCTCAGGTCATTCATAACAACAAGAGCGTCCAGAAAGATTATTCGAATGGGCGTAACTACTCGTAATGTCTTATCAGCTTGTGAGAGGGGGTTATTCATGTGTTTGTAACACTTTATAAATAGAAAGCTATGAAAGATAGAGTGTTATTTTCATCATCAGTTAATACACTCCCGCGGTATTCATGGCGAAAACACACGTTTCCAGGCGCACGTGCTGTACACCAACAGTTCACACTGAGTGACCCCGGCGGCCTGCCCGGCACGTCCGATGTAATCGGTTGCTCATAAGATACGCATCTGGGCACAGACGCAGGATAAGAGTTAAAGATCCAAAGATAGATTTCGAAAAAGTGACAGCAGAACTAGATTCTGCACTGAAGATCACGCGAAGATTCCAAGTTTCATTCATATACTTCAACTCATTACTGACTTACGGACAGTTTTTCCTTTAAAAATACATCAAGAAACGTTCCACTCTTTGACAATATTTTCCTATTTGAAAGTCCCCCAAATTTTGAAACAAAAAATCCCAATGACTTTTTTATTTATGAATGGATTTTTAAAATTAAAAAACCACAGTTCTTAGAATTTAGTCTTCTTTCATTTAAGCCGGATAAAAATTAAATTTTTCATTGTAATTGCTATTTTTGTTTTTTGCTCTTTGTCATTTTCTACATTAATTGTTTGAAATCGCAAACACACTCATGTATGTGTGGGTCAAAATATTAATAAGGGTCCCCAATTAAGTATGTGGCAAATGGTAATATAGCCTACTACAGATTTTTTAGGTCAACTACTGATTTTTGGGAAAAAAATTGTGTCAACTACAGATTTTAGCCTAGGCAATGTTGGCAGGTATGCGATTTGCTTTCTATGACGTTTTGGGAGTAGTCATGATTGTCATCTTGAATTCTGTTTATAAACTTTTATTCATTTATTTGTGTCACTTTTGTATTGTTTTAGTTTATGTCTCTGAATTTTAAATAATTGTATTCATAGCACTTGCTGAAGAGGAAGTACAGTTTAAACATGGCTCTGACTGAAGTGTCTTTAGGCCATTTCCAAGGGGGTATATTAACATGTAGAATTGTAAATGGGCTGATTTATCACGGTCATGCTCATACTGTGCCGGAACTGCATAGGGGGAACTGCTGCTTTTTCTTTCCTCATCCTTATTTTTACTCTACTTCTTTTGTATGTTTGTCACTCTCTTGTGAACTGCTATTTCCGGGGTGCCTTACTAGTCGAAGCAGACTTTGTGCTGTTGAGGCTAGAGAGGTGAGCAGAATAAACCTGGTTCCCTGTTTAGACTTCTGTTGACATCCACCCCGTAGCGCTCATATGACCTTATAATAATAATAATAATATGTAACATTTATATAGCACATTTCCAAAAAAAGGAGCTCAATGCACTTTACACTGGAATACCCATTTTCAAAATCTTTCTTACTACTTCCTTTCTTCTCATGCAATATATATTTATGCACGCACACACACAGACTATTTTCATTCAGACGTTGGCACAGAACAATTATAATAAAAATAACACTAAATGCTTATGCAGTTGCGAGCTCAGTAAAACTTTACTAAACAAACAAAAAACCTTTAAAAACTGTACTGGTTTAATGTATGAAGCTGCTGTTTGGATAAACTATACTTTGGGAATCACTGTTATTGGTTTGAGTAATGTGTCCAGTCCTTCAGGAGTCATTCCAGGTGTTAAAGTTCATTGCGTTCAATTTTCAGATGCATGCACGAATGGACTCCACATCCAAATGAACCTGTGACTAGCCTTTTCTTCCTGGATGACCACAGACGTAGGGTCAATGAGTAAGAACTTATTTACTCTTCCCATAACTGAAAGCTGAAATGACACCATGACTATTTGTTCTCGCTAGTGTCTTTTGATGGTGATATTGTGTTGTAAGAGTTTTACTGTAAATGCTAGGGCATGTACCATGAGGCTACTAGAGAAATGACTATCAATGAATGCATGGAAGAAAGTCTTGTCTTAAGATGGGTGTCTAGTAGAGACTTATCTCTATTGCTCTTCCATGTAATGGAATATTTTCCTCTCTATCTTTTTTGTATTCAGGGGTAGTTGGCTGCTGGTTCTTTAACCTGCAGTGCAAAAGATTTGTACATATGTGATGGTGTCTCCTACTTCATTGGGCTCTTTGCCTTTCAATTTTTTCTATAATTTGCATGTCTAAGAACCTATGTTTTATCATTAACTTTATGCCATGTTTTTGTGTCACTTTTTGCACTACTTAAACAATCAGATGCCTGGTGTAGCAATGTAAACCAGCGTACCGTTAGTGGTTGCTTTCACTGTGAACGTTTTGCCTTAGTGAAAATGTTTAGCCTTATGGACCTGAGCAAAGGCCAGGGGCCAGGGTGGGGCTTCGTTTACTGTACAGTGCACCATCTGCATACCTCAGCATCTGGTGGTGTAGATCTAGTGGTCATCCTAGAGGAATTTAAGTGCATAGGTCCTGTAGGCTCAGGGGAGCAGGTATCAATGGGATGATCTTTACATGTCATTCTGCCAAGGTGGACCAGTAATTTAGAAAAAAATTGAACTTGTTTGCAATTGATAGGTTTTTATTAAGAATAACAGTCGTGCACTGTTCATTAAATGTAAAATAACTCATATGGTTTCTTATGCGTAAATCAACAACTGTTTATTGCAGTCAGGCATACTTTTTGTTGTTGTTGGTGGGGTTTTTTCGTGTTAGTCTCATACTCTGTTGTATCTTAGTGTGCCTGTTTCTGTTTCCAGTCAGCAGCTGTGGAAGTTTGCCCTTACAGGAGCAAAATTCAACACCGAAATCAAGATCTGGAGCTGTGAGTCTTGGAAGTGTGTGCAGACTTTGACGTAAGTTATATATAGCTTAGCAGTATATTTGAAATTTTAAAACAGTTGAACCTGCTCCAACAGCCGCCATTCCAAGACAATCACCTGTCTTTTTTAGTATAATAATGACGTTGTTGAAGATGTCCACTTGTCTAAGACAACCGTTTTTCCTCGACAATGGATGGCTGTCTTGGACATTTCCGTGTTCGTTTTTTACTAACTGGCATGTGTGGTTTTCTCAGTTTTGTTGCTAGCTCTTCAGAGGAATTCTCGTAACTTTTAAAGTTTTAGTAAGAATTTTACGGCACTTGCAACACAAAAAGGTCATATAAGTGCCGAAGAATAGATGTGTTACAAGAGAGTAACATAAACAAAAAAGGAGAAGGAGAGATAAGACGATAGATGTTTAATAGGAAAGAAGGAGCAAACCACACCAGAGCACCCGCCTACCTCCCACGTACTCATAACTGAGGGTTTGTTTTTTTTTAAGCAAAGTAAGAGTACAGGATATTGAAATTCCAATTCCACCTCTCATCTCATTACGGCTTTAAGATGTAAATTTTGCTTGCAGGAGATAAATATTTAACATTGTTCTTCTTTTCTGTCCTCATTTTGTGTAAACGATATATTTAACATGCAAAATTATCTACATGACCGTTAAAATTTAAAAAAATGAAATGCTTTGCCTGTAGATGAAGTGCATAAAGAGTTCATTTACTTTTATTTTTTATGTGAATTGGACTTTGAAAAACTTTTTTGTGAGGGAAGGTAATTTTCATGTACTGGATTACATGTGTTTGGAAGACTAAAGTTTGAAATACTTTTTCACTTTTGTGATTTAGATTCATTCCATGTTCTTTTTAGGTTCAATCCACCGCTAAGCCAGCCTGAGCTCACACTTCAGCTCAAATCTTCAATTGATCTCACCTCAAGATATTGTACCCTCTCGGACATCAACTCAGGGGTAAGGGTTTGTTTGTTTTTTAGTTTAGAGATATTATTTTTGGTAGAATTGAACTGTAAGTAATTCAAGTTTAGAATACATGGTAATTCATTGTATGATGATGAAGTTCAGGGATGGGGGTTACTGCGAATCCCAGTTCTTCTTTCTTTTATTTAATGAGATTTGATATAGGTACAGAGAGATGATAGAACTGCCACTTTCAGATTCTGATTACCACTGTGCAAAAGGTCTGTCTTCTTTAACAAATGACATTCATTATCTTGAATGTTCTTGGCTGTACTGTTGCAGTCTCTTACTTATATGTCTGCAGCACTAGGGATGGCAGAGTTTGCAGGTAGGTCTAGTTGAGAGATGCTGTCATATTATTGTTGTGTTGAAGTTTTCACCTTCTGCGGCCATTTGGTTTGCTTTTTTTATTAAAAAAAACTGGTGTGCTCCAGACTAGGAAGTTAAAAATTATTACTTCATTCATACTCACCTGTCTATTTGCTACAGTGCTTTAGATTTAATGTATATTTCTTGATAGAAGGTATAATGCCGGAAATGTGTTTTAAATGTGTTGCTGGAGACGGTTCCAAACTCAACTATTTTTTGTCTATAACAGCGTAATAGTGGATAGTTGTTTTTTTTATCTTTTTTTAAATATATATTTTTTTTATATTTATCTAACTCCATTTCCTCTGATGTCTTGGCAGGTGCTCTATATTATGCAGCTACACATGGACTACACCGTGACTGCTGCACATGTCACCTCCTTGTCCCAGTTCTCCCTGGCACAGCCTTGTGTCAGTTGTGCCATCTTTGACGCAGGAGTGAAAAAGTTCAGACACTCAGCAGATGATTCTCATCTCGATGAGATTACCACAGGTCAGTATTTTTTTCTGATGACTTGTATTTCTGTGGTGGGAATAGAGAAGGTGGACATGGAATACAGCTGTATTGGAAAGCTTTGTAAGCGAAAAGACTTGCTTCTAATTGGGTAGTGCTCTCAGGATTTTCTGCATATGCTTGAGGAGAGAGATGCACAGTATTTCTTGATTCCAATGGTTTTTTGGTTATATTCTTTTGATGTTTTGTATGAAGTTTTTAGCCCTGTCATTGAATTGGTTTATTTCAGTTCATAGAACTTAATTCACGTACACAATTTTGAAAATGAAGTAACTAGACATCGTATGCCATTAGAGCCCAATGCATGGTCGTACTCAGTGTGAACTCATACAAATGTCATGTGCTAAGAGAATTGACTTTATTTTTTTCAGTTTGAATTGAGATTGAAGAAGTTATGTGACAGCATTCTATGGCACTGCATGCTAAGATACTCCACAACATCTTATCATGAACGATTGCTGCCTGTTGATGTTGCTTTGAACCGCTATGTTGGTTAAGAACAGGGGAAATGAATACTTTATTTCTAGAAATAGAAGAGGCCAGTGCTAGTATGTTTATATGCTCTCTAGTGTGTTTTGAAACGTTGAAAATGCATTGCTTTTAGGCCTTTTGATATAAATCTAAATCAGAAAGTCTTCTTCACACTGTGTACTATGCTTATATCTTTTATCTGTCCAGGTGAGCTTGATCACAACCATGAGGATAATTATGATGGCTCAACCAATGGTGTGGATTCTGAGGGTCAAGTGACCACTGGGATTCAGATCAAAATGTATGGAGTCCACACAAAGTAAGTACCAGCTTTCAGTGGATCACTACGCAATAGGCCCTGTGCTGGTTACATTGGTGTTGAGTTCCTATAAGAATTATTTTATCCAGTCTGTCTTGCTCCTGTTTTGCTGGGGAAAAAATATGTGTCTGATGTTTTGGAGTCCTTGATATACTGGTACTAGACTCAACTGTCTTCATTTTGATGTTAGTAAAGTATCTAAACGACCTGACTGAACTGCAAGTTCACATCCAAGGTCTGTCTTTATTCCCTGTCTCTCCTTCATGCATCACATTTTTGTGTTTTTGTTCAGCCTAGGTGTAGTCGTGCCCACCTGCTTTTTAAGTGATAAACTTCTATATTGTCTGATGACGGAGGCGTAAGCCTTAAAATGGACCAAGCAGAAATAGGGAAGTAGTTTCATGCTGTTCCATTTAGTAGACAGTAAAAAAAACTGATGCTTAGTGCAAGAGAACTGTTATTACCTGCGCATGAAGTCAGAGTAAAGTTCTTTTCTCTTTCACTGCCTAAGAACCCATTGTTCATCAACAGTCAACTTCCTACATTTTTTAAACTGTGGCTTCTGAAAGGTGCCACTTCTGTCATTAATATTTATGAAATTTTTATCGAGAACTATAATTCAGATCTTTCATGTCCAAGTTTTAGATTTTATTTTGTCTGGTGGATTAGACAAGCTTTACAAAGAGTAAATTTCCTACATTCCTAATTTATGGTAGAAAACCACATTGCTCCTTCTTTCCTATCAAATGTTTATCACCTTCATCTCTCCTTCTTTTCTTTTTATGTTACTGTCTTGTAACAACTCTCGGTACTTTTATGTGTCAAGATGCGATGGACTCAGGCGCTCGTAAATTTTTAGCCCTGTGAAGTTATTGGTATAACCTTAAAGCTTGTTAATTAATTTGCCTTGCTTTCAATGAAAGAAATACCCATTTATCTTAAATACAAGTCGAGATATTTGCGATTGAATGAGATGGGATCGCCTGGTTTTGGAGGTAAAATTAGGGAGAAAGTAGCCCCCTAAGTTTGGTTATTTACAAAGCCTGAGAGTCCGTGGAGACTGACAGTTTACTTTTTTTGTGGCCTTAATTAATGTTTTTCAATGTAATTCACACTAAAATAGATTTTTAAATGGACATAAAGGGAGTGTCTACGTTCTCTAATGTTAGAGAATTATTACAAGCTGTCTACGTTCTCTAACGAATAAAAAACAACAATATTAAGCCTGTAGGGCCCTGTTTGAACTTCTGGATAAGGCTAGGCTACTTTTCAATCTTTCTTCTTTTTTTTTTTTCAAATTGGTTTACACTATATTGTGTCGTTATATCTACATCAAATAGGTCCGCCAGTCCACTCATTGAATTGGATTATTTCATGTACTAGATCTAGGCCTATCGTAGACCTAGCGTTGATATGACTGACTTGACCTTGACCCACGTGATTTGATTTCATGACAGTGATATCACATTGCACTCCAAATCGGCAATGTTTTTCCACACATGTGAATTTGATATCAATTATGGTCTCTCACGTTGTGTCACATTGGCCTACCTTGGCGTTAAGGTGGGAATATGAAATCGCATGTAAACTGCAAGCTTTCTTCTAAATACTAATTACAGACGGCCTGATCTTCTGTGACTTATTCAAAGTTTTAGGGGGGGGGGGGCATCAGAGTGCACCTTCCTTTGGTGAAAAGTGTAGGCCTACAACATATTATGAAAAGGGGGGGGGGGGGGGGGTGTCATCTCGATGGAATGATAGAAGGTGTTGGTTGCTTGTTAGGGGTTTAACGTCGCTGTAAGGGCAAAATGCGGTACTGTGACAGCTTTACTTTCGCGAGCATTTTAATTTCGTGAAAGTAAACTTAATAGCTTGCGAAAATAAAGTGTAAGCACTGTGGAAGCAGCAATGTCGACTCGTTTCCATGTTAGATGGAGCAAGCGAGCTATTTTTAGGTTCTCTACTAACATTAGAGAATGTAGACACTACCGGACATAAAAGGTGTTGAGCCTAAAAACTAAACATAATTTCGATAAAAATTACCAAAGCAGCTGAAGAGTGCCAGGGTTTTTTTTTTTACTTTCACTATTTTGACTGATGAGTGCCTGATTTCACCACGCTGTCTCACATATGATCTGTTTGTGTTGCAAGTGTCGTGAAACTCAAACTAAAGCTAAAAACGTTTCTGCTGATCTTGAACTTTAACAAAATTCTTTGTTGTACCATTGTAGTATTTTTAGACAGGATCTTTTTTATTATTATTGTCTTTCTTGTCCAGGTGTCTTCAAGAGTTGCTCATTCGTTACCGTCCAGAGTATGCTATTCCACCAGCTGTCACACCCAGCATCGTTTCTTTGTCTCAAGAGGAATCAGGTTTGTTTGTGATATGGATCATTCCTTTGTTTTGACTGCTCTAGCATTTAAAGATTTTTTTTACTGTAATAATGTCTGTGCAAGTTGTAAGATAGTACACAACTCTCAAGAAGAGCAAGATGGTTTAAAGAATATACAACATCAATCATTTCCTTGCACTGTTGTTGTTTTTCTTTCTATCGGATTAAATTTATCCAGATGTTAGGTGTGCTCCTTTTTTCTTTCTCTTGGGGGAGGGGGTTGTTTGTTTGTTAGTATATTTTTTGCGCTGTGATGCGTCAATCACTTTTGCGCTCATCGGGTGTGAATAAAGAATAAGCAGCTTACTTTTGTGTTTACAGGTTTGCGAGACATGCTCTCCGACATGAGCGTAGATCAAAGTGAGGCCAGTCAGGAAGATTCCCAGCAAGCTCTAGACATGTCTCAACCTCTGCTGATGACCCCCGAGGCTTTCTCTTCCTCTTCCCCCAGGTACGTCAGACAAAGACCTGCCTGGTACTGTTTATACTACAAGGGTTGTGTGATACTGGGTGATGACAGGCTTCTAGTGTAGACAAATGGAAGCCAACATTTTCTGTTCTCCTTATGTTTCAGGCCCTTTCCAGTCTTTGACAGTAACAATTTTACATCTTTATGGGATCGTTTTCTGTGGTGAAGTAGTGAACAAATGTCTGGGAGAAATTTATTTATTTATTGTATTTGTACTCTCTGTCCAGATTAGGGAAATTGATATTGGTTTGTTAAATTTCTTTTTTTCTTGAAAAATTTTTTTATCTTTTTTTTTTTTTTTTCGAGTTACGCCTGTGATGTTTGTTCTTTTTAATTTCAGTGGGCCTAAAGGAAAGAACAGCATGGCACAAAGTGATGCCGGACACCTCAGCGCCTCCAGCACAAGCAGTTTTACTCAGGTGACGGCCATGAACGAGGACCTGATGGGGTTGGACTCTCCTCGCAGCTCGGTTGAACCTATGTCAATTATTTCCCCGTCCATCTCGTATTCCCAGGTCAGTACAACATCCCAAGTTGTCAGTATGACCCTCTTGCTTGTAGGTCAGAACGGTTATTTGAACATGGCATTACACAAAGAGCATTGAGCCTACATAATGCAGCACTAGACGGAGATGACCATTTGTTTGCAGAACAGGTCACTTTAGCTTACCTTGTTTTTATTTTGATAAAACCTCTTCAGTTATTTGCGACCTACATTCAGTCAGTGGTATGTACTATTGTCTCATAATTTTTAGATAATCTGTTTCCGGAGAATTTTATTTTCCTTTTTCTGCAGTGCTTACTCACAAATACTTACCCTTTTTATTTGCGGATGTTTGAAGGGGGCTACTGGTAGATCCTAGTTCTTTTCTTTCTCTTGGTTATTTCAATCTGTCTTACTTTTTCCCAGCACTACCTGTATTACCTATCCTAGGCAACAACGTAATTGCACACAGGACAGGTCCATAAGTGCTCAGTTCCCCCCCAGTACTAAATTGCCACTGTTATGCATGTTATGTGCTTCTCTGTTCTCAAACAAAACTTTTCCCTTCATTTGGTTCTCTAGACTCCATCCAAACCTTCCCCTGGAGGACACAACTCCAGCCTGTCTGACTTCCCGCTCCCACCCATCACATCGGCGGAGGAGGACGAGCTGGCCAGCACTCCCCACAACTTGAGCAGGAGCGGCTCCCTGAACACCTCTGCCGTCAACAAGTCTAATCAGGAGATTCTGGAGGAGATGTTCTCTGGGATTCAGGAAGTGCCTGTTGTGTCCGGGCTGGGCCACTCCATAGAGTCTTCTTCTAGTACCGGGTCTTTCCCAGTGACCAGTTTGAAGGTGACTGAATGAAAGTGTTTGTGTTAGGTTTTTTTGTTTGTTTGTCTTTGTTTTCTTTAGATATCTATCCTGGGGCATGGATGTAAATATTGAATTAGTACGATCAGATTTCTGTGTCATATTGATATTGTAGTGCTGGCCCTTTTGTGACTCATTGTATTTTTTCCTATTATACGAGAGTGCTTCTGGTAGGTTCTGCTTCTTTTCTCAACATCTCTCCTTTCTGTCTGTTGGTTCTGCTCTTTCCTAGTCAGTTCCTGGCTGGCTAGGGGTATTATTGCACAAACCAACTTAAAATCTTAACCCGAGTTATTATGCCTGAAATGTCTGTCCTGTTGTTTTGCAGAGTGCTTTCAGTCGTGAGGAGCGCTACGATGAGAATGACAAAGAGGTAGCAGAGGCTTTGGGTGTGACACCAATCGGGGAGGGGGATGTCGATGACATAGAGGACAGAGAACTGGAGATTCCAGCGGCAACACCGCCAACAGATGCAGCAGATGAGAGGAATGAGGTGGTGTGGCCCGAACCTCCGAACGTGTCGACTGAGGCAAAGAGATTGGTGGATGAGGCCATTGAACAGAGGTATATTTACCTGACTTTTGTCCCATATAGTGTTCTAGGAAAAACTTGGCTTTTCTGGGCTAGCCTGTCTCTACTACAGGGTGGCCAGGTCGGATAAGTCTGATTTTTGTCGGAAAAATTTTGTTCCGACGGAAATGGTTATATAAACGTCGGCAATAAAAGGAAATTTGAGGAAATCTGTAAGTTGCCTCGGGAAAGACCCGGGAAAATACATAAAAGTTCTCGAATATTTGAAAAACAAATCCGATAACGTCCCTAAGTTCATTTTGTCGGTCGCGATCATTCAGCTTTTCCCAGTCTGAGAGTACGTGTTTCACGCAAACAGGCGGCTATGGCGGCAAGCGGATGTGTACGAGTGATGCCGAGGCTCAATCGGGAAAATTTAGGTCTACTTTGGCTTTCACTACCACCTTGAAATTTGCCAGTAAAAGTCTGATAACCAGTGCTTCCACTCTTCTGTATTTTTACCGAAATCCGTACTTTCTGCCAGTTAGTTCCGTACTTGTCCCTCCATCATTATCTACTCCCTCCGTAAAAAAAACTGCGACAGTGCAGGACTGCAGAAATTCCGTACTCGCCTTCGTATTGTCTTGTATAAGGTACAGATATTTACGGTAATTCTCTCGGCAACAAGTTAACGTTATAGAAACTTGCCAAATTGCGCCTTTCCTGCAATTGGACATTATACCGCTATGTCCCAGTCCCATGCATTCATTGCGTGTTGGTCGGCAGTACATTTTTTACCTGCAGATGGATCAAAATCAGGCGAACCTTTTGTTCAAACTTCCTCCTTTCTGTCATTCACTCATTCCTTCTGTCTGTCTTCGGATTGTTGCCGCGGCTGGAAAATCTGCGCGTTGATCAAGACTGATTTTGATCTTAGACAGAAAATTACTGTCGGAAAGACACTTTTTTCGCAAATTTTATCTAGATCTAGAGAAATTATCAATGCGAAGATTCTACGGCACGTGAACGCAATATAAGGGCCGTGATGAAAGAAATATATGCTGATACGGTCGTGCCCACTATGGATGGGATCGGCCGATTGCGCTGATCGCCCGACTCGGTCGAACAACCGTGTTTGCTTTGAAACTGAAAACAAACACGTTTATTTTTGAGGCGATCGAGTCGGGCGATCTGCCCAATCGGCCGATCCCGTTCATAGTGAGCACCACGTATAAAATCAAGAATAATTTGAAGTGGTGTTCCGAGGTTGTGACAGGCGACTTTCAGACATGAAAATTTAGAAAAAAATGTGGGTATACGCTGCGCAACCGTATTTTGAAGGTACATCTATTCATTATTCCCAGGTTTGCCTGCTGTCAATGGTGCGACTACAAATTAATTTAATTATAGTAGCAATGAAAAGGGAACCTGCTTTTAAACATTTCCAGCATTGGAAAGATATGCTGGTGATGAAGTCAAACAAGACAAAATGTTGGTGAAAAAATAAATATTATGGGCTGTAGGCAATATCTTCAAACAGGCTCCCAAATGCCATTTTCTACCCTCTAAAAGCACTGAATTTCATGAAACCCCACCGGGACGCTGTCCCTGGACCCTGCTGGGCCCCCAGACCCCCTGCAGAATTTTCCTTACTTTTCAGCTTCAGCTGGTGGAAGCACTGGATAACACAACATTGTTGTAACATGCAGTTTGTGCATTACAAAGGCTGTGTCACTATGAAAATAAATCAATATTTGTCACTTGTGTAAAAAGAAAAGAAAGTTATACAAGCGTCTGGTCGGGCTCGCCGTCGTCATCGGTCACTGAACCTGCGCGTTTGTATGTCACACACATGATGATAGGGCGTAGAGTGAGTACCGCGAATGTTAAGGTCACTAAAGTTCATTCTAAGTCTGAGCGTTGCGAAGTATAGGACTCCGGGATGGCGCGATTATTAATTTTTTTTAAAGATACAC